GAACCGGGCTGGAGCGGGAGGAAGGCAAACGCTCCTACTCCATGGAGCACTTTCGCTGGGGAAAGCCGGTGGGACGCAAGAGGAGACCCATCAAGGTCTACCCCAACGGGGTGGAGGAGGAGTCAGCCGAGAGCTACCCACTGGAGTTCAGGCGGGAGCTGGCGCTCAGCGGCACCGGGGCACCTCCCGAGGAGGAAGAGGAGGAGGAGGAAGGCCAAGAGGAGGAGAAGAAGGCCGGCAGCTCCTACCGCATGCGCCATTTCCGCTGGCATGCGCCCTTGAAGGACAAGCGCTACGGGGGCTTCATGACCTCGGAGCATAGCCAGACCCCTCTAGTGACTCTCTTCAAAAACGCCATCGTCAAAAGCGCCTACAAGAAGGGGCAGTGATGGGGGAGAGCCCGAGGGGCACCCCGGCCACTGCCCACCCCCCCCCGTAGCTTTAGTGTCCCGCTGGCATGTGTTTCACTTAGAGATCGCTCATTATGTCATTCTTAATTAGTACTCCAAAGGGGTCCACTCCCGGGTTTCACTGGGTGGGAAGAGGTTAGGGTTAATGACGTCAACCGGTTAAAGACGTCAACCGCTTCGCCGCTCCCACCGGACACGCACGGGGAGCAGGGATGATGCCCAGTTTGGAGCACGCTGGATGATTTTCATATTTTCACTGAGCTGTACAATACTGTAAATGATAGATTAAAAGAATTCTAAAAAAAACCAACCAAAAAAACCCACGAAAAAAGTTACTTTTTCTTTGCAAGCTAACCGGGTGTTGGCAATGTCTCTGGGGGTGCCCCGGTGTTTGTAAAGGGGCAGAAAAAATAGTTGCAAAGTAAAATCCTGCAGCTGGGGAGGGTAAAGAGACATGGCTGGGAAAGTGCTGGGGAGCATGTTTTGGGGTGAGGGGAGACAGGGCAATTTTGCACCCCTGGCACAGGAGCTTCACAAGAGCTGGCTGTGGGGCTGCAGCAAGGCTGGGCTCGCTGCAGCCAGCCCAGAGAATCACAGAATCATCGAATCGTTGAGGTTGGAAAAGACCTTGAAGATCATCCAGTCCAACCATTAACCTAACACTGCCAAGTCCACCACTAAACCAGTTCAGGGCAGAGGAAGAATTAATTTCATGTTTCCTGCCTTGGTGGCTGGATTATTTATAATGAAAGTAAAAACCAGGAATCACTAAGGTTGGAAAGGCCCTCTAAGATCATCAGCCCAACCATCACCCCAACACCCCCATGCCCACTAAACCATGTCCCCAAGTACCACCTCTGCCTGTTTGTTGAACCCCTCCAGGGCTGGGGACTCCCCCACCTCTCTGGGCAGCTCGTTCCAAATGCTGAATTATAAAGGATGATGAAGATGAAGCCAGGTTTGGGTTGGATCCTGGGCACAGAGCTGGGGGAAGGAAGCTTGTCCACAGCCGAGGCCATCCTCCTCCTCACCCCGTGCCTTCCCTTCTCCATCCCAGCAGCAACCACCCACTTTTCCTCCCCCAGGGCAGAGAGACAGCACCCAGCTGCCGCGAACACGCCGAAAGAGCAGAGCCCCTAAGGTGGCAACATCAACATTTATTTGAAAAGGGCATTAAGACGGTGCATTTGAAAATATCGAGGGCTTCTTGGCCCTTTTTAACAACCCGCTCCCCCCCTCCCCGCCCTCGGCTACACACGCAAACGCCACAGTGCTCCGAAATACAGAGATGGAAACGCACACATGCACCTAAACCGCCGACTTTATAGAAATATACTTTGTCATCTATACGTCCACAAGTATCTAAACTAAACGTGATGTACAAACAGGTCACTTACACCGTGTGTGTGTCCAGGAGGGGGGGGCACATTTACAGGTGGAATTTGGGTCTCAAAATGCGGAGGGGCCGTGGTGAGACATGCTGGGGGATGCAGCCAGCTGGGAGGTCCCAGCCCCGCTGCCAGGTCCCATGGAGCGGAGCAAGGGAAAAGCATTGGGACCGGAGGGACCGGGAGCTGCTCCCGGGAGCAGAGGCCAGGGGTATTTTCTGCCCCAAAAGGGACGATGGGCACCCCAAGATGTGCCCCGTGGCGTCCCCATGGCTCCCCTCCTTCAGCACACGCCAACTTGTGCTCATCTTCCCACCTTCGGTGTGGTTTTGAAGAGTTTTGGATGCGTTTTCCCATGGAGACACAATTCGGGGGTTAACTGCTTTTCCTATTGCATTTTGTTAAAAATTTTAGTGCTTTTCATTAGAACAGCCACGGGAGCGAACCCTCCTTCCCCGAGTAGCCTGCTTTGCATTCCCAAAACCTGCCCCAGCCAAAACT